ATCCATTTATTTGTCAAGGCTCAAATGCGTTAGCTTTGCGGAGCCGAATATTTTTTACATTATTGTGTATGAATATCATTTTCTTACAACTAATGTTAGTAGAACGGGGGCCGATTACTCGCGGTTTACTCGAGATTAGGGATTACATTTATTGATCATTTGGAGGGAGGACAAGACAAGGGAAAGCATTTTGAACTAATTTAAAACTTAAACGGATGACTAAAACACAAAACATTAAACACATACATACATCAACAGATTTAAGAAGGTCGTAAATAAGCTTCATAATGTCGATATCACGGCAAGCCAAGACGTCTCTAATTGGCTTAAAGGGTTGTTTTCCTCGGACCCTAAGGGAATCACACAGAACGGATCTCGCCTCATGATGCAAGGAGCAGGACCAAACAACATGCTCGATGTCGTGATAACCGTTTCCACAGGTGCACAAGTTGCTGTCGGTGTGATTGGACATGAGCCTGGACATTACACGAATAAAATCACGACTCATATCCAACCCTTTGAACCAGGGTTTGATCGACACCTGTGGGACAATAGAATGTAGCCATCTTCCCAGATCACCATCATTCCACTTTTGTTGCCAGTTGGCGAGGACTTGCTGACGAGAAATCGTGAAAAATTCGTGGTAGGCGATTTGTTGCTCGTAAATATCGCCTTCCATAGCGCCCACCTTGGCCAGCGAGTCCGCTTTCTCATTGCCCGGGATAGAGCAATAAGAAGGGACCCATACCAAGGTGATGATATGCGAGCTGTTTGATAAAGCACTCAATGACGATCGTATTTCCTGGAGGAAATACGCCGAGTGCTTTATCGGCCTCATTGAATGCATAGTCTCCAGGGAGCTTAGGCTATCCGTAGAAATGAAATAATGGTCAGGTGGAAGTGAGGCAATACGCTCTAACGTGTACGATATAGCTGCTAGTTCAGCAACGTATACCGAACACGGCTTTTGAAGCTTGTATGAGGCGCTATGAAGATCGTGGAATACTCCAAAACCAGTGGAAGCATTTATCACCGACCCATCTGTGAAAAATCTCTTCTTGGTGGGGACGTGGCGGTATTTGTTCGCAAAAATAGTTGGGACAATCAGGGAACGGTGAGGCTCTGGAATTCCTTGAATCTCCTGCCTCATTGTGAGATCGAATCTCACGGAAGAACAACTGAAATGATGGGAGACAGCGCGATTGGGGTTGAACGAGGAGGGGCCGATGTCCAGAGTCATGTACTCGTAGTACAAGGTCATGAATCGTGTTTGAGGATTCCGCTCTAGCAGCTTCTCAACGTTTTCGATCACCAGCGGGTTCATGACTTCACAGCGGATGAGGAACCGGAACGATAAATCCGCAAAACGATTTGTTAAGGGGAGGATGCCCGCAAGAACTTCAAGACTCATGGTATGCGTCGATTGCATACAACCTAGCGCAATTCGAATGCAACTTTGGAGCTTCAATATGTGCGTCCCCGCCGCCGATTCAAAGCAAAAGCTACCGTACTCCAAAATCGAGAGAATGGTGGTCTTGTAGAGTCTTATCAGATCTTCCGGATGGGCTCCCCATGAAGTGCCGGTAATGGAACGAAGGAAATTGATTCGCTGTTGGCATCTCTGCCTCAGTTACGCTATGTGTTTTCCCCAAGTGCACTTGGAATCGAACCAGACACCTAAATACTTAAACGACATGCTGTGAGTGATTGTTCTACCCATAAGTTGAAGATGAAACTGTGCTGGATGAAGCTTCCTAGAAAAAACAACCATATCTGTTTTCTCCGGAGAGAATTCGATACCCAGATTCATTGCCCAAGTAGACAAATTATCCAAGGTATCTTGCAATGGTCCTTGCAGGTCCGGTGCTGTTGGTCCAACCATGGAAACCACGCCGTCATCTGCAAGCTGCCTTAGCGTGCAATTTTCGGCCAGACATTCATCAATGTCTTTGACATAGAAGTTGTACAGGAGGGGACTTAAACATGAGCCTTGTGGAAGACCCATGTAGCTGATTCGTGCAATTTCCGAGTTGCCATGAGAGAAGCTCATTCGTTTCTCGGACAACAAATTAAACAGGAAATTGTTGATAATCGGAGAAAGCCCACTCGCATGGAGTTTGTCCGGAAGGATGTCGATGCAAACAGAATCAAACGCCCCTTTAATGTCCAAGAAAACTGAACCCATCTGCTGTTTTTCAGCATAGGCTAATTGGATTTCAGTTGAAAGCAACGCAAGGCAGTATTGCCCCTACGGAATCCAAATTGCTTATCTGAGAGTAAGCCATTCGCCTCGACCCACTTGTCCAGACGAAGAAGAATCATTTTTTCTAACAGCTTCCGAATACACGACAGCATCGCGATGGGACGGTACGAATTATGATCCGACGCGGGTTTACCGGGCTTCTGGATGGCGATAACTCTCACTTGTCTCCAATCATCCGGAACAACGTTGAGCTCAAGGAATCGATTGAACAAGTTCAACAATCGCCTCTTTGTGACTTCTGGGAGGGTTTTGAGCAGGTTGAACTTGATTCGATCAATTCCCGGACCTTACGCGCGAAGTCGAAAATCCACTTGTTAGAGTACTCCTTGTCCTCGTTGACCGACGATGCCGCGAAAGTGTGTGTTGAAATACCTGGGAGTGATGGTCGACGACGTTTGGCTTCAATAGCCACGTAGAATACGCCTACGAGAAGGCAGCGAAGGCCATCAACGCGGTAGCCAGAATCATACCGAATATCTCTGGACCAAGCAGTAGCAAGAGACGGCACCTGGCTGGTGTATTTACGTTGATACTGAGATATGGAGGTCCAGCCTTGGTTTCAGCGCTGAAAACCAAGCGGAATTTAAGGAAACCGGACAGTAAATCGTACGCAAACTTTTCGAGACGTTTGGTGTACCCTTTGTTGTAAGAATAGTTAACATTTATCAGTAATTCCATTAATAGTGGATAATTAATGGTTAAACTTTACTTCAAAATCCTTTTGATGGTTAAAATATTGAAAAAGAAAATTTCCCAATTTTGTCAGCCCCATCTGAAATTTTAGGCTGACATAAACAGGAAAGTACTGTATTGGTAATTGTCATAATCACAACATAAACAGCTCTCATAATGAGTAAAAAAACCCAACACGAAAGCGTAATATTCTTCGGCGACACGGTCGTAGGAGAGCCATGTCATATGACATTTTACTTTGGTACTGTATTTTGATAGCTTGTGTTGCCTGAGTCAGAAGGAAAGGCGGACGGATCATCACCGAAAAAGCGTCGGCTACTGTGATCGCTTACACCACTGACTAGAAGACTATAATTGGGGATTCCCCTATCAACAATTGAGACGCAACTCGGCCCAGGTCAACAATCTTAGGTCATCACTTTCCAGTGGTCCATTTCTTTCTCCACAGCAGTTCTCAGATGATGAACCATTTCTACGGATTGATAAGAAACGTTTCTAAACTGGCGTGCAGTGAACACGCAACGAGTAAATTATTCAATTCTGCACCAACCAACCAACTATCGCCACTAGGGTAAATTGGCATATTATTGGACCCCCTGGTAATTGTTATAGCCATTCACACTGAATTCAGAACCTGTTCATCCTTTTCTTTATATGACTGATACGTAAAATTTGTAAGCTAGGAAAATCTGCATTACAAGTAGAAGTCACCACACACCGACTACGCTAAATACACCATAAACATAATTATTGCCCTTTATTCATTTGACAGCTCCTGGCGTGCTTCACATTAATATGCAATTTTCTCCTTGATCGGAGTTTACTAAATAATAATCGTTCAAACATTTCTACAAAATTTGCATTAATCCGTAAAGGAAGAAGTCCATTCAAGGCAAATTTACCCTACAGCATCAACACAAACAGCAATATCAGTCATTTATAACCGCTCTCTTCAAGATTAATGGACCCGGATAATTTGCACGCTCTTTCGCGCTTGTTTGCTTTTTAGCACCAAGTCGAGGCCGAGAGTGAAAGAGCTCCACTATGAGTCACAGTCACCACCATGAATTCCATGAATTTTGATGTTTTTACCTTTTTTTAGCAGTTATATTTTCTTCGGTCTCTCGGGTTGGTAAACAACAGGTAGCAGCCGAAGGTTGGATCAGCTGTGCTCTGCACCTTGTCGCATTTAATTAAGTAATCTACTATTCACTTCACGTGTGGTAAAACAAAATCAATCGGTTACGCCAACACTTCACTGAATGCACTAATCATTTTCACTGTCCCAATTGATCGAGATCGTTTGAAATTGTTGAAACGCGATCACACTGCGGATTTGAATGCCCTTTAAGGATAAAGTAATCTTACGAATCGTAATCGAACCGCAGCGTACCGCGAATGGCACTGTTCTGAAACCTAATCGAATGAATTGTTATAATGGACGGTCCGAGTTGTTCCAAGTTGGCACTACTACTAATACTACTCGACGATCAGCTATAGCATTATGTTTCTTTGACCGTTTGTCTGCACGCAAACACGAATAGAAGGAGAAGCGCGGTTGATGATCATCGCCATCACTCACTCTCTCCGCCTGCAGTGCTTTGTGTTCATACCCACCATATTATGATTCACTTTCAGTGAGTTACGTACGAAACCTATGACGGTTGGAGTCCGGTTCGATCCATTCGTCGTACGTACGAACATTCCGGTTCATGAGGTTATGTTTGGAGAGGGTGTGAAATTCGACGATCGGGCCTTGCGCTGCAGAAAGCGAACGTGATTCATGTTCTAGCTGTTCCGAACGGTACCTACGAGAAAGACGATATTTTGAGGTTACGACGAATCGAATGCGTTTGTTTTTTGATAATCAACTTCAGTCGATTTAGTGGGACAAATTACAATAACTACGAAATTCATTGTCCGAGACCAGAACTCCAGTCGAGATCACACATTACAAAATGATGAGCAAAACTACTCCCACCAGAAAACCACACTGTATTAACTAATGCTTTCTTCCCCTTCCCTCTCCCCCTGTTTCAAACAGAGCCTCTTCTACGAAATCCTGTCCGGCATCTGGGTGCGCAACGGGCTCCAGATCAAGGGCCAGGCGATGACCTACCTGCAGGCCAACTTCTGCAACTCGATGGTCGACATGGATCTGTTCTTCCTGCAAATCTGTGCCACGCAACTGCCGGCCAATATGTTCCTCTCCGATTGCATCTCGATCTTCGGCGTGACGGAGTGGCTGGGCATGGGTGTGCTCAGTGCCTCGCAGGAGATGGAACAGGACTCGATGCTGGAGGGTCTGCTGACGTTCCTGGCGACGTTGATCACCTCCCGGGTCAACCTGGGCAACGACGAAACGACGCAGTGTATCATTGAGATTAGCGCCCTGCTGGCCACCGGGGACAAGACGCACAGCCAGCTGCTGGAGCTGATGCCGGAGCGGAGTCTGAATGCGCATACGAGAAATTTCGAACGCTTCCTGAAGGATCTCTCGGTGTACCGATCGCCACCGGTCAACTCGGAGAACTTAGAACAGGGTTTGTTCATGCCGGTGGGCGTGGTTTGGGAGAAGTATTACGATCCGTTGCATGTGTTGCTGCGGGCGGTGCACAGGAGGGATTTCCAGAACTCGATGGATAGGTTTAGTGGATACGTTAAAAGTGAGGCCAAGATGCCAAAAAGCGGGAGCTTGTGGCCTCCCTTCCGGTTGCCGAGTTCGTGTGGGAAGGTTTACACCGATCCGAGAAGTATTCTAAGTTCCCGCGTGCTACATGCGACGATACTGGCGATCTTCTACCGGGCTGTGCATACCCATAGCGTATCGGAGCACATGATGGCATTGGCGGTGTTTCTTCTGGAGATGGCTGTGAGCAACTGTGAGACTAATAAGGACTGTGGGAACGAGTTGGAGCGGGGGGTTCCATCGGGGACTGGGAACGGGCGGCGACCGTCCGATGAAAGTGGGGAAACGGTTCCGGAGCTGTTGAATTGCTATCCGAGCAATTGTTTGACTGATAATCTAAAGATGACGATCAAACGGATATCGTTGATACCCGGAGAGCCGCAGGTCATGCCGGCAAACTATCAGAATCAGAGCGCAGGAACGCCTACGTTTGATAGCGACGTGGAATGGGAACTATCCGAGAGCGAAACCCTGCCAATGTTGGTGGGCAGTGTTGATAACGAATATGGGACGCATTTGAACAGCGGTGGAGAGGTAGCCATTCCTCAAGATCTGTCCATGGTACGAGGAAGCTCCCTTGCTAGACGAATGGACGAAGAAGACGATGACGACATGGCTCATATGATCGTAGATCATTCACTACCATCGATCAATCTGAGACAGGCACTAACTCTGCCCGAGTACCATAATAACAATAACGAAAGTAATGACGCAGATATGCATTCGGTCCTTCCTCCTCTTCTCCCGGCGCTTACTTCGTCCAGCTCCGGGACGGTGGCGGTACCTCGCGTGACGAGTGAGATCTACAACGAGAGCAGTATGGAGTTGGTAATTCGACATGACTTCCCCGTAGCTACCAGCCACATAGCGGCTATCAGCGAAGGAAACCGAACGACAACGCCGGACACGACCATGTTTTCGTCCTCGGTGCCCTCCAATACAGGGCTACTGCTTCCTTTCAATCGTGTTCAACCGGTTACAGTTCCTAGTAGACCACAGTTACCGGCACCACCGGGCCATGCTAGTACAGTGGTCAACGCAATTAGCGCCTCATCCACCAATGCAGGTGGAGCAAGTTCCCAATTAGTCCACCAGCTGGGCGGTGGTCGTCCTCGACATAAACGCCGAAATATCGAAGCCTCCGGAGATCCCAGCCACGAACCGGACACCATACTGATCGAGGAAAGCATCCTTTCGCTCCTCCTGAAGCTGCACTCGCAGCTGAGTGGAGCGCTGGATAGTTTTTCACTGGAAGACGAAACTTCCGAGGACGAGGACGAACGAATGGATCAGGATGACGACTCCTGCTCATCTAGTCAACAGCAGAGGATCAAAGTTTCCGAATCGCGAATCGGAGACGGACCATACTTCATAGGCAACTTGTTGCGGAAGATCGCACGATTGGATGCGAGCTGTGGTAGGAAGATCAACGAAATCCGCCATGCACTGTGGCCGAACCAAAGAGAACGACAGGCGGAGCAGAAAGCACGCGAGGCTAAGGAACGGGAAGAGCGCAGCAAACGGGCCAAGGAACGACAAAAGAAACTGATGGAAGAGTTCGCCAACCGACAGAAGGCGTTCATGGAACAAGCTGCGGCGGCCAATATGGATTGTTTCGAAGGTGACGAAGAGGAGGAAGAAGAGATGATCGAGATGCCAAGGGAAAAGGAGTACGACTGTATAATTTGCAACACGACCGGACCGAGTACGGAGTCAAATCCGATCGGGTTGGTAGTGTTGGTGGAGTCCAGCAGTATTGTGGGTCACCGAAGGAAGGAGAACGATCGTTGTCCTCTGCCATTGAACGAAGACGACAAGGCAAGATTGGAACGCAATGTGAAGATGTCCAACGAGTTCAACAAGCGAGTGGATTTGCTGCAGTGGAAGTTTGGATCAACGTCCTGGTTCCTGTCGCATAACATCGGATGGGAAGGTGGAGTTCACGTACAATCTTGTGGTCATCATGTACACCTGACCTGTCAGGATTCGTACCTGAAGTCGCTGCACACTTCTGCCAGACCACAGAATCTCAACGTCGAACGCGGGGAATTCTTCTGCCCGGTTTGCCGTCAACTGGCCAACTCTGTACTGCCGCTTAGTCCTTGCCTGGACCGACCGACCCCACTGATTCGAACTCCTTCACCACCGTACGCCAGTCTAGTCAACGATTTGATGAACCTTATCAAGGAAAACAAACGCCCTCCGACGACAACCAAATTCTACGAGGCCATGGGTCGAGCCATGGAGAACATGACCAGCTGCACGCAGCGGAACATCAAGAAGCACTCAGTCACCCTGCATAGTCTGTTTTCGTTTGTGATTTCAATCGCTCGCATCAACCTGGAATCGGAGGTCATCCAACGGGGTGGATCCCTGTGCACTCAGAAGGATCTTCGCTACAAACCGAAGCGGGACTGTATTGTGCCGCTGTTGCACGTGCTATCGCTGCACGTTCGACTTATGATCAATGACGATTCTCCGATGCGGTTGAAGGTCGGCGAAGATTGGCCCGCGTGGCATTCCTGGGCGATACTTTGTGGACTGGCACTGGCACGACGACAGGAAGCTGATGCTGCTGCTACTGCCGCCACTGTTTCATCGGCAACGGCCACGGCAAGCGCCTTTGAAGCCGCTCTAGGACTTTCAGCAGCAGGACCAGACGTCGATGATGGCAATTCGACGGCAACCACGTCGGCACTCTTCTACAGCGAGGCCATACCGGCCCTACTGAACGATCCGTGTGCCTTGATGCTGAAGTTTATCCTGCTGGCACCGCTCCACCTGGATCAAGGTAAGTTGATTCAAAGATCACACAAAACGAAAGCAATTCAATTCAATTCAATCGAAATGTTTCCGCTCCTCTCCTCTAGCATACTTCACCTGCATCGTCAAGGTGATGTACAACCTTCTCTACTACCAAATCGTACTGCAACTGTGCACCCACCTAACGGACGACCAATGCGAGCACCTGATAGAGCAATACTCCTCCGTCCCGCAAGTGCGCGCAAAGGGTGTCCCGAACATCGGCGCGGCCATGGTCTTCATCCTGGAAAACCTGGAACGCTGTCGGTACATCCGTTCCGACAGTGTCCTCATGACGGATCACTCGGCTTCGATGATGGACCAATGCGAGGGCAAAGCATCATCCACCCCGAATGGTTCTACCTCGTCCTCGTCCGGGGGACAACTGGATCTAGCCGCCCTGGAGAAACACCTTCAACGTCTATGTCTGCCATTCCTCAGGGTTGCTGCGCTGCTACGGCACCACATATACCATCCCGAGATACCGGAAATTCCCGGCCCGCAGTGGGAGTTTAGCCGGCTCGTGTACTACCTGGAACTAGTCACCGTCAGTATGGATATGGACAAGTTCAACGCCAGCAAGGCGTTGTGTTTCCTGCCGGGCACGGAACTGTCGCTGCCCAAGTTTTGGTGCGATCAGTTGCGCGAAATTCGGCCGACGTACGAATCGACCCGGTCGCTGATCGACAACCAGCACATCGAGTGGAAGCAGCCCCGGCTTCTGGGCCTGCCCCGGGAATACGAGCGATTGTTCACGGTGAGTTGCACCCCGGATGGGGAAAGGGAGGGGATCTTGAAAGATTGTAATTTTTGTTAATTTTCGTTTACTTTTAGCATTACCACGAGCAGCCTTGTCCCAAGTGCCACAACGTGCCGAAGGAGAGTTCGATCTGTTTGCTGTGCGGTGCGATCGTGTGTCTGAAGCAGGCCTGCTGTAAGGAACAGGAATGCTGCGAAGCTGTGAGGGTGAGTTTTGTTAGTGTGGAAGGGTGGATTTGGAAAATACTGTTTTTGTTTTTTTTCCGTTGCAGCATTCCATCAGCTGCGGAGGGGGGACGGGTATTTTCCTGGTGGTGACATCGACGTACATCATCATCATCCGAGGTCGGCGGGCCTGCCTGTGGGGTTCGCTGTATCTGGACGATTACGACGAGGAGGATCGAGATTTGAAGTGAGTATTGGTTTAAAGTTTGCGAAACTCCCAAATTAAGTGGTTTCAACTACCGTTAAGTGCCAAAATTCTGCGCAGCGCCTAATTCCGCGCATTTAGCCAAACAATTTGTAGAAGATTGTTTTTTTTTTCTCTAGTAAAGAAGAAAAGCAGTAGTATATTGCAATTTTATCTTTCCCGTCCTCATCCATTCATGTAAATTTGTACACGGCAAATTAATCTGACTCATAGTTGAGACCCGTTCACTCAAATTCGCTTAGGTCACTCATATAATGAGTAATTTTTTACTCAAATATGAGTAAATTTTTGCTTAAATATGAGTAAATGTCACTCATATTTGAGTGTAATTTACTTATATATGAATGACAGTTACTCATATTTGATGAAAAATTTACTAATTCTATCAGAGTGACCTAAGTTTTTGTGAATTTGAGTGAACGGGACTCAAATATGAGTTAGATTCATTTACCGTGTATTTAACAAAGATTGTTTATTGTTCATTGAAAAATTCAACTGACATTTATTGTCTAAATGAATAAAACTTAAACTAAATAGTTACGGTCAAGTAGCCGATGAAATAATGTTACATTTTTCTATGCTTAGACTCATCAAATTTCTTGAGCACCAGTCAGCAAAAATACCTAACATATTCTGGAGATCCCAGCAGTCCGAGAGGCTTTTAATAATTTTGTAGATTTTCGTATCGTCTGCATAGAAAACGCGGCATCCTGATGGTATCAGAAAGGCGACATCGTTTAAAAAGATCGAAAACAGTAGCGATCCTAGGTTACTGCCTTGCGGAACTCCCGAGTTGTTTGAGAAAACATCCGATTCCGACGCGCCAATCTTGACATGTACATAGCGATTCACTAAGTAAGATCTGAACCAATCCACAGCAGTTGACGAGATGCCAAGTATCTCCAACTTGGCCAGCAAGATATTATGGTCCGACGTGTCAAATGCGGCTTTTAGATCCATATACGCAGCATCCTGAATTCATGCATCGCAGACAGTTAGAAGTGAACTGCACCAGGTTCGTGGACACGGAGCACTTCGGGTAGAAACCGTGTTGTTCTGTATCGATATAATTTTTGCAGCGTGCGAACAGAGCACCATTTATGATAATCTCGAACAGTTTTGAGCAGGCACACAGGGAGGTGATTCCACGATAATTTTTTGTACACTGGGAACAGATAAGAAAGTTTCCAGGGGCAGGGGAACTCACATTGCTGTGCCGAGAGATTGAATATCCTCGCAAGTGGAAGGCAGAGATTGGCTACACAACGTGTTAGAACTGATGACGGAATGCCGTCAGGTCCGGCGGCGAACGAGAGCTTCAGTTTGCGTGTTGCGGCTATCACCATGTCTTCTGAAATGCGCGGAATAACGAAACTAAACACATCATGTGGCATCCCAGCAGTAGCGTCCAGCACTTGTGTTGGCGAAGCGGAGAAATCGTTGAACACTTGCTTGAAATGACGAGCAAACAAGTCGCATTTTTCTAGCCGAGTCATTCCCGAGAAACATGGAACAAGGCATTAAGGCAACCCGGATTCCTTCCGTTTGGAGTTAATAAACGACCAAAACTGTTCGGATTCGTGCGAAGGTTCGCTTCCGTGCGTCTCACGTGTCGATTATAGAGAAAACGATTGTAATTTCGATAACTACAAGAGTTACAATACTTTCGGAGGGCGGCAGAGCGTTGACGTTTTAGCACGCGTAGGCGTGGGTTAGACCATGTAGGCTTTAGCGAAGGTCGTCGAGCTGTAACAATGCGGAAAATAGCATCTTCCAGTGCAGCACTGAAAAAATCCACAGCATCATTCACGCTAGCGGCTGTTTCGATGAATTGCCAATCAATTTCCACAAGCGCATTGTTCAATGCAACATAATCGGCCCGGCGAAAGTCCAAAGAGTAGCACTCAGATGACGGCGTAAAAATAATCGGCGTAGGTAAACTAAATGACGCAACGAGAGCGGGATGATCGGCATCTAGATCAATCAGTGGCTCGACCGGCAAGGAAACAGAAGTGCTCGGTAGTGCGGAATCATTTGCCAGGACAAGATCTAGCAAACGTCCATTTCGGTTCGGAAAAGTATTCACTTGTGTGAACCCGTAAAAGTTAAAACCGTCCAAAAGAGCACAGCAAGCAACTGGCATATGCGAAAGCAGTGGATCAATTAATGGTGTGCCACTGTCTGTAAAGCACCACTGCAGACCAGCTTGATTGTAGTCACCAAATACGAAAGCGGGAGAGCAGGGACTTAATTGTGACGAAATTGAGCCTAACGATTCCACATGCTCACGGATGATCGTGCAGTCGTTTTTGCGATCAGGAGGCAGGTAGATTGCGCCTACACTAAGCTTGCTTTGTGAAAATTCTACGACAATCCACAGCTGTTCCAGCTGACTGGAAATGGGTGACGTACTTACGTAGCTGGCTAGTCTCATAGATTCTGCAATCAGGACTCCGCCACCGCGCGATTTTTGACTGTTTAGGGTAGACCGATCAGTTCTGAAGACGGAATAGAGTGACCCGAAAAGTTGCGATGAGTAAATTCGGTCGTCCAGCCACGTTTCCGTCAGCACCATCAAATCATATTCGGCCTCCGCAACAGCCAGGAAAAACGAGTCGATTTTAGTCCTCAGTCCACGCACGTTTTGGTAGTAGATCCGGAGACCATTCGAGGAGCTATCACGGGAACTAGAAATCGAAAGGACATCAGGTACCGAAAGCTCGGAATCACTAACATACTCGCCTGAGGTTGCAGATGGATGATTGCATCACGGAAAAAAAAACACTGTAGAAAATTACCCATTGGGTATTTTCTCTTGAAAATTTGGGTACAAGTAGTTTAGAGTGTATTGTTTACACTGTATTTTTATCACTGTCAATTTTTCGAAAGTTGGAAAAAATGCCGTCACCCGAAAAGCAACGTAGCGAATTGATTTTGCGCAAGCACCTGGAAAATCCTCAACTCTCTCATCGGGGGACATCGGAAAACAACTCGGAATCGTGCAGTCAACGGTGAGTCGTGTGATTAAACGTTACTACGAAACTCTGAGCATCGAACGGAAGGAGAAATGCTGTCAGAATGGATGTTCTATTAGTGATCAGGATCACAAGCGTGTCGAACCGGAATCCCAATGCTTCGGTCAGGGATGTGGCCAAAAAGTTGAATCTATCCAAGTCTTTCGTTCAGAGAGCCAAGGACCGGGAGGGACTGCATACGTACAAAGTGCAGAAGGCTCCAAATCGTGACGAACGGCAAAATACGGTGGGAAAGCCACGAGCCCGGACACTGTACACCCAGATGCTGACGAAGCCTCATTATCTCATTGTCAAGGCGCACTTCCGGCAGCTTTCGGGGCTACTGTTCTTCACTGCCCAGCACAAGTTTGATGTTCCGGAGGAAGTAAGGAAGCAAAAACTTTCAAAGATTGCCAAGAAATACATGATTTGGCAAGCGATCTGCTCATGTGGCAAACGGAGTGCGCCATTTGTGACTCGTAAACGCGTCTGCTTCCTCTGTTGAAGGACATGACATGAAATAGCCTTGTCAGGGATAGAGATGAACCAGCTGATGACTGAAAGTGTCTTAAATAAAAAAAAGAAGAAGTAGCTTAGTCAGTTATGGCGATATCATCAACAAACCGAAGAGGATGGGTTCATTTAACAGCCCGCTTGAAGAACACTAAGTAAAGAGTAGAGTCTTACGTAAGAAGTGACAAAACCAATAAGAATAAGAAGGAAAATCATGACTCTATCCATATTATTCGGATGAATGCTCAATCTTTGTGAAGATATTTTCAGTCTGGCATCACCTACATATTTGGAAGTACCCAATATGTTGAACTCATATTGTGACTAACATTAAACCATGGGTTGCAATTTCTTCGTGATTTGATATGTCATATAATGAGTTTTTAGGAACATTTGGCAAACTCGATATTGCTACCATTAGCTTTTTATCAAATTCTCAGCTTTGGTAAAAATTGAACAATTTTTGAAATTTTGACAAGCAAATGAATAGTTTTATCCTAGAGAGGGTCTAGTAGTCTAGTATAAGAGAGGAGCGGACTGGCTGGTTTTAAGCCAAACGAACTGTCAAAGCCAGAGCCAATCGAGCAGCGCCTATCTTGATTGCATTGCCAGTGTTGCTAGAAATCACCTAGGCATCGGTTACCAAGTCAGTTTGTTTTGAATCCGCTCCTCTCATACTAGACCCTCTCTAGTTTTTCCAATACAAACTTTAAAGCTTGCCCGCAAATTCACGTAACCGAATTTCGTTCAAATTTAACACAGTTGCTGGGGACCTCAATACGAATCGAAAGAGCTGTGAGGATTGTGTTCAGCAGTTAGCGCTCAACTTCCGTGCCGAATAGATGCTTATACCACTATCGTCTGCGGAAGCCTTTTGCCGGCTATTTTTGATCAATTTACAGTGTAAAGTGCGTATCCGTGATTGAGTGATCGCCGTGAGTTTCACCGCGTTTTTTTATGATACTGCGTAGCAATGTCTGCAATAAAACGCCGCGAAAACACATTTCGCATTGACTATGCGAATGTGCCGAAAAAGCCATCGTCCGAGGAGGTCCACCAGTTCGTTGGTGTGACGCTGGGTATGAAGCGTGAAGATGTCTTGCGGATTCAATACAGCCGCAACACCGGAGTTGTCTTTGTCAAAGCCACTTGCCTCGAAGTGGCGCAAAAAGTCGTCGAGGGAAACGAAAATATACACGAGCTGACAGTCGACGGGAAGCCGTACAAACTACGTTTGGTGATGGAGGATGGTGCTGTGGTAGTGAGGCTCTTTAATCTGTCCGAAGACGTCACGAACGAGAGAATTGCTAAGTTTCTCAGCGCACACGGAGAGATACGCTCGATCCGAGAGGAGGTTTCAGACGAGAACCACTTCTTTCCAGGTCTATCGACCGGCGTCCGTATAGTAAGGATGACTATTACAAAAGGTATTGCATCCTACGTCACCATCGACGGGGAAACGACGCTCGTGTCGTACAACGGCCAGCAGCAAACCTGTCGATACTGTGGCGAGTATATTCATAATGGCATCTCGTGTGTGCAGAATAAAAAGCTGCTGGTCCAAAAACTGGCGACACACACCTCTTCGTACGCTGACGTCACAAAAAACCCGAACCCACCACGTTCGAATGGCACGCGTCCGAACCCCTCGCGACCGATTCCAGTCGGCCCCAAGGCACCGACCCAAAAATCATCTGTACCGAAGCTACGTCCGTCTTTTACCATCACACCGAAACCGGGAGCAACCGAACAAAAACAACCACAAGCCAAGGAATCAACGTCAACAGAGAAGGAATCGCGTTCAAGCAGCGCGATGCCCCATTCCGCTGATAGTTTAGAGCCTATCGAGATCGATTTCGATGAGTTCCTAAAACCAGCTGACGTGCAGCATGGAGATAACGACAGCAATACATGGACAAGAGTCACGCGCAAATCAGCTTCGCAACATAAAATTGACGGTAACGAGACCGATTCGTCAACATCCATTAGGCGGTCACAAAGACCGATTGGCAAAAAAATGCGTCGTGATAATGGCAACGTTTCACACGACAAAGACTCCAACCACTAAACCGTCCTCTTCACCAGCTATAATATTGCGACCATCAACGTAAACAACATTACGAACACAACGAAACTTAACGCACTTCGAACACTTGTCCGAACGATGGAGCTCGACGTCGTTTTTCTTCAAGAGGTGGAAAACGAGCAGCTTACTCTCCCTGGCTTCAACATCATTGCCAACGTTGACCATGCAAGAAGAGGAACTGCCATCGCATTACGAGACCATATACATTTCTCGCATGTGGAGAGAAGTCTAGATGGTCGCCTGGTCGCTTTGCGTGTTCTTGATACCACACTTTGTTGCATTTTAATTGTGTTCTGCGACAATGCGATGCAACGGGGAACAATACGAGTCCGTCTCTCCAGGCCACCATACAGCAGTTGCAGCTGCATGACGTGTGGATAATGCTACGCCCCAGAGATTCTGGCCATACATACATTTCGGCCAATTCTTCTTCAAGACTAGATCGTATCTATGTCAGCAGAGGATTACGTGATCAGCTGCGAACCGTGCATACAAACGTATGTTCATTCACCGATCACATGGCTGTGACTTTGCGAGTGTGTTTACCTCACCTAGGTCAAGCACAAGGACGTGGCTTTTGGTCACTTCGTCCCCATCTCCTCACCAACGAAAACATAGTGGAGTTCCAGACAAGTTGGCAATTTTGGACACGCCAAAAACGCAACTACCGAAGCTGGATGGACTGGTGGCTGGCGTACGGTAAGCCAAAAATTGCTAGTTTCTTCCGCTGGAAATCAAAACAAGCTTATGACGATTTTCATCATGCGGAGCAATCCCTCTACGACCAGCTGCGACGGGCCTACGACGGCTACTATCAAAATCCGGACATGCTAACCACTATTAACCGCCTCAAGGGAGAGATGCTCGCTCTGCAGAGACGTTTCACACAAGCCTTTGTTCGTATACACGAGCAATTAGTAGCAGGAGAACCGATATCCGTGTTCCAGCTCGGCGAAAGGAGAAGAAAAAAGACAACGATAGCTCGTTTGGACGGCGGTCGAGGTGGGATCATGGACGACACGCAAACCATTCAAGATCACGTACATCAATATTTCTCTGAGTTGTATTCGGAGCCTACGTAAGAAGTAGTACAGACCGAGGACTTTCAGTGCAACCAGATCGTCCCAGAAAACGATGCATCAAACGCGGCATGTATGGACACTACCGTCCAAAATAACTACCTATTGCGTGGATATATGGGCGGCGATCAAAACGAGTGCTTCCAGAAAATCACCAGGGCCTGACGGAATTCCAAAAGAATTTTATCTTCGAACATTCGACGTCATCCATCGAGAGCTCAACCTACTGCTAAACGAGGCACTAGCATCCAACTTCCCGTCGGAGTTTGTGGACGGTGTTATCGTATTGGTGAAGAAGAAAGGAGCTGGTAACACTGTTGGCTCGTACAGACCTATCTCTCTTCTAAATTTTGACTACAAGCTGTTCTCCCGCATACTAAAGGCACGCCTGGAAACAGTTATGACAACTCATCACATACTCGGTAACGCTTAGAAGTGTTCTAACGCACACAATAACATCTTCCAAGCCACACTAGCACTGAAGGATAAGATCGCTCAACTGACGTTGCATAAACAGGTTGGAAAGCTAGTCTCTTTCGATTTGGACCATGCCTTCGATCGAGTAAGGCACTCATTTCTCTTTGAGAATATGCGCAACCTCGGCATAAACAGTAAACTCGTGAATTTACTGTCCCGGATTGCAACTCTATCCTCTTCCCGCCTGTTGATAAATGGGCACCTTACGGCATCGTTTCCCATCCAGCGGTCGGTGAGACAAGGAGACTCAATCTCGATGCATTTGTTGCCGGCTCTCAAAGCAAAAGCGCTGCTGATCAATCGGCATCTCCAGGAGATCGGCTCCATTCCCTTTTATAATTCCTTTCTTACCCACACAAATCCCAACAATCCCCCGCTGATCTCCCCTGCCTAAAAACAATCCTGCAAGCATACCCTCGCTTGCCTCAACAAATCCAACAAAATCCTTCCTCCGATCAAATACACCGCTTTTTCCTTGACCAAACAGATCAACCGAGAGTGGAATCCGCTATCCGTGGAGAGCGCTATCCTGCAGTGAATTGGAAGTGCGTGTGGCTTAACATCGGAAGCAGAAGACTCTCTTCAGCCCAGCGTTGTAGCTGGTATTTACTCGTCAACGAAAAGATAGAGCACAGACTGTTATGGCACACTATTCGACGAGTAAACAACGAGCAGTGCCTACACTGTAATGGAGCAATAGAAACATTGAAGCACAAATTATGTGAATGTCCACGAGTGACGCCGGCGTGGTCGCACCTGCAGAGAACGATATCAACATTCCTTAACGGTCGGAGGAGGCTCTCTTTTGAGGACCTCATACATCCAGTTTTAAATAACATAGGCAGAAGACAAAAAATTGAAATTCTAAAATATTTTATTAATTACGTCACCTTTATCATAGGTTGTGATAACGCTGTAGACGTTGGCGAGTTAGTTTTTCATTTACAAGTTGCTATGTAATTAATTGCAGTAATCAGCTATATAAATTTGACCCACCCTAATACACACATACAACGGCAATGATGATCATGGCTACACTATCATTCACTCACTGTCCTGCGCACGATCAACAGTGTAAAGGGCCAAAAATATCACAGCTAAACGCTGCAAATTAGAACTTATATGCTGGGAATATCTCGTCTTAAGGATATCTTGGATTCATTCAAAATTTATAATTGTGTTCCGTTACCTTTTTTTCCAGACGCGGTAAACCGCTCTACCTGAGCGAGGATCGTTTCAACCTGCTGGAGTCGCAGTGGCTATCGCACCGGTTCGCTCACACCAAACACACCTGGGTATGGCATCGGGATTCTCTGTAAATTGTGAAAATGTGTATGTGCGTGTGTTCTGTTGTTCTGTTTCGTGTGTTGTTGCCGTAGGTTTGCGTGAGTGTGCGTGTTTGAAACACAAGAGACTGCGTTTGTTGTCGCTGTGAGAAGGGAACGGGAATACAACCGAAGTGTTATTTAAACAATGTAAGGCTTAATCAATAATACTACTACTACCACTACTACTACTACCATAACTCTATCGTAAAAAAAACCTATAAGTAAACAATTTCTCCTGCTTTGTGATATTTGTAATTGTTATCATACAGAATATGCCCTTACTATATAAGAGAGGAAAATTTCCATGCTAAAAATTGTAATTACTAAATACTTACTAGGCCGAAGAAAATCGAACTGTACACTAGTATAACCTTTAAAAATACCTATTATATAAATAATCATATATATTTGTTCGAACCGGTTAAACAATGTTAAAATAGACTGTCTCATCCACACACTGTCTACTATTGTTTTGTTTTACCCTATAAATATTATTTTTTTAAATTTTTTGCCACACGCCAATTTCCCGAAAGTGCGCGTTTCCTTGTTATTTTGCTCAAATTTAAAACACCAATACAATTGAACAATTGCTACTTGCGGAAGGAAATTTGCCTTATAAAGGACGACTACGAAGAAGCTGTACAGTTGTAATGAAATAGCAAATAAAAAAAAAGATAATTAAACTAAACATTAATAGGACTCAACAAATTGTTTTTTCCATCTTCGCGGTGGGCTTTCACGGTAAGGAAATTCATACGATGTAAGGCTAGGGCTTTCGAAGGAATTGTAGCACATCTGCATGTGCCTGATGTAGCACCGGTAGGAATCGATAACACTCATGTTACGGCGAATAGAAAGAAAACCAATAACTAGTGTGTAAAGCCAATAAATTAATTTCTTGATATATTATGAAACATAGAAAAAGTGCCTGCTTGTTGGTGTTTACTAGGAAAGAAATTCCCGAGATTCATTAACGGTGTCCGGAATTCTGCGTCCGCAGGTCCCTCTCCAGCATTCTCCTCCGGTACAGCAACCACCATTGGTAGCCATAGACAAGACAGGCGACCATCCCAACCAACCCGGACAGCGTATTGGCCAATCCGCTCAGGTCAAGATACCCAATAAAGGTGGCCACCATCCAGAAGGATCCGCTGTAGAAGATCAACGCAACAATGCCACTGTAGTATAGTTCCACCTCGTCCCAGCAGTCATCCAGCTGCAGCAGTTTGCGAAACTCTCCATTGATGCAACCGTCCAGCAGGTTGGCCAAAGTCAACAGCGATGCGTTGAACGTGACGAAGAGAAATGTGTACTCGACGCCGGCTTCGTGGGGCGGCCGACGGTGGATCAAAAATTGCGCCAGGAATCCGAGTGACTGAAATTGTCGCCTAGTTACACCTTGGTGCGTATTTTAAAAGCGGAACTCACGACACTTACAAGCTCTATCAGCTTCAATCTCTTGCATTGGGCTAGGAATGCATCGTTGGCAGACTGATCCACTGGATTCCAATTCAGATTGACAACGGCTGGTGTTTGCACGGGCACCGGAACTGCCTTTAATGTCATTTTAGCACGAACACTGCGTATAAACAAAATCGACTCTGGATCAATGCGGGAAAGATCACAAACATGATATGTGTGATGACGTCATTGCGTTTAATGTAACCTACATAACTTACGGTAGGCGCTAGACTTAAGCTGATGGAGACTGGTATACCTTCAGGCGATTGTGAATATTATGGCGCATTCCGAAGTTCATGAACTATTCGTAGCGAAGGTCAACTTTTACATTAACCTGACCTATCTGCCCTTAAGCCATTCGTGTTGTACACGGTCGATCAGACCGGCTCAGAATTGAAAGTCAAAAGTTGATTTAATTAAATGTGAGTTGAATTTTCCGGGCTTTTCCAGGAAAACCTTCTCTAAAATGAGGAACATCGATAGAGGTTCCACTCAGTCGATTAGTATACTCCAAGACTGTATAAAATGTTCATGGATTTTCCTCATATTCAAGAAGTTTTCCCTGGTTTACCAAGGCTTTTGCCCGGAAAATTCAACTCACTTTTGACGAAAATGAGTCGACTCGACTCGACTCGACAGGTTGCAATCCTAGTCGAGGTCGGTGGGATTTTTCTGAGGGATAAAAATCTCTGGTCACGTCTTCCTTCGGAAGGGAAAGCCGTTGGTCCCGGCCCATGTGTGTTGATGAATGGGTGCGATATCCTACGCAGGTGTGGAAGCTTTCTGCACATTCGATTGCCGTCAATGGATAGCAATCGATGCTCGTCGGTGATTCGCACTAGATTGCGGAACAGAGACCGACGTTTAATAAAGGAATGAAGACTCGACTTGACTCGAGCACCAGTGATGCCACATTTTCCTTCTGTCTTTTTAACTCTTTCTTTAAATCTTTTTTTGATTTTCAGGTTCCAAGAAACATCAAGAATAACTACGATTAATAACTAAACTGAAAACAAGTCTGTTTGGTTTTGGATGATTACAGACTGCCGGCGAAAAACAGAAGAAAACTTTCGACGAAGTGCGCATCACGGGAGATCGCAAATCGCACCGTATGCGCCATAATTTGTGCGACGTAGAGGCAGTCTTAGCATAAGGTTATTACGAAGCAGTCGGGGTTGAACATTCTGGTCAATTTTCCTCAGGATAGTCTCGCAATCTGTCTTTCCTTGCAGGATAACGGCCACGGTTAGGGCTCTGATTGTGTCTCTTCTAGTCCGGAGAAGTTCTAGGTCGATAAGTTGACAACGGCTTTCGTAACTGCGTAATCGAAATGGATCATTTCAAGTCAATCTACGCAACGCAAAACGAAGAAAGCGACGTTGAACAGATTCAATTCTCTTGGCACCGTTGCTTGAGTTCCAAACCGCTGAACAAAACTCAAGCGTCGCTCGAACAAGCGAACAATAGAGAGATGTTAGACAGTAGATATCGGTGGAGTTTTTAGCTATCTTGACGCCTTATCGACAACATATGCAATGTGTTGCTTGAAAGATAGCTGCAAATCCAAGATCACACCTAAGTCTTTCACCTGATTCACGCGTTCGATTGTCGACCCAAGCAGGTCATAGCTAAATATTATCGGTTGTTGTTTTCGTGAAAACGTAATAGCGGAGCATTTTGCTGGGTTCACTACCATTCTGTTTAAACTACACCAACTAACGAATACATTCAGATGGCGTTGAAGAAAGTAACAGTCAGATTTTGAGGTCATCTGCATATGATAACCGAGGAGCTTCGATGACCAGATGCACGTCGTTGAAGTACAGTATAAAAATCAACGGTCCCATGTGGCTTCCCTGAGGTATACCTGATGTGGCGAAGAAGCTAGCTGATCTGCAATCTCCTATGGCAACCTTTAGTTGCCGACCGGTAAGATATGATCGAAACCAACTCAGAAGATTACCGCATACACCGAGCCTGCCGAGTTTAGCAATCGCAATAGCATGGTTCAACTTGTCGAATGCTGCGGATATGTCTGAATAAATAACGTCCGTTTGAACCCGATTCGACATGCTTTCGGTTATATACGATGTGAGACACAGCAGATTGGTGGTTGTAGATCGGCCGACAGTTGTTGATCAGCACTCTAATACTGCTTGCAATGGAACAGCAACGGTTCCATAATCCCCCATAATCCCAAATTCCCAGCAAGTTGCAAATATGCCGCTGGAGAGAGACATTCCAGCTACGGACACATCAACCTTGAATTGGGAGCTGGAGAGCAGATTCGCAAGATCCTTAGACATGAAATGCGACATCGAAGCGGAATCCAATAGAGCTCGGGCTTGAAAAACATGTCCGTGATCGTCGACGATTTGAAGAACGACTGTTTCAAGGAGAACCGTGCTGGCGTGGGGTTGAACCGACATGCTTATTTGTTGGGATGAGGTAGACGGTCCTGGGGTAGCCAATATGGGTGGTACTTGCGCCGTTTCATGGGAATTTGACATCACGGCGGGGGTGGACGAACTCTTACCAGACTGGGATGAATCATGCAGCAACGTATGGTGCCGTTCTCGACAGGTTCGGCAGGAGAACTTCGAGGAGCAGTTTCTGGCTTGATGACCAGTTCGGAAGCTGATCCAACACAACTTTCGTTGCAATACCAGCTCCCTCCGCTGGTTGACGGGCAATTTGGCGAAAGCTTGACACTGAAAGAGGAAGTGTCGTTCTGAACAAGTGAAACCAGATGGCAAGTTCGGCCTGCTATCAGATGCAGCAGCGTTGGCAGCGACCTTGGGTTGAATGTACTTCTTTGGAGGAGGAAAGTTGCCGGCCACCTTTGCTTGAACCGGCTGGGAGCGTTGCAGCAGATCGGATGCTACGGATTTCAGGATTCGTACACGCTGGTACAGAAATTCAACAAGGTCGTTGTACTTGACGTCGCGTCGTCTTGCTGGCTGGTCTTTTCTTCCCACGCACGAAGAGTAGATGGATTGAGCTTTTCAACGATGGGAAGTCGTGGATACTATGGAAAAGCTGCTTTTTCAAAAATCTACGATTATCATACCTTTTTAGCAGGGCATCTCACACGGCAGCGTAGTTATCGGCCTCGATGTCCACGCTCTAAAACGGCTTGCGTGCCTCGCCTACGAGTGACTGGATGAGGTATTGGAGTTTTGCCACAGTGGGAATATCAGCATTCGAATGCACCATCGACGTGTAGGTGTCTCGAAACGACAACCACTTTGAGAAATCCCCGTTGAATTTGGGGAGGTGGATCGATGCGTTGAGGGCCACTTGGTTGGCATCTGCTGTTCGCCATCCAAAATGCTGTTCACGACAAAATGGCCTGACAAGGTTTGTTCACAAAATGGAGTTGAGGCCTTTTCAATTGTTGGTCTTGAAATGTATTATTAACAAAAGCAGAAATTTCGGCAAAGAAATCGGGTCACGTGACTCTGTCATTAGTGAGGTGAATGGGAGAGTGAATAACACGGTGTAGACAAATGCAAAAAAATCACGAACATATGGGCTATACATATGCGTCTGTATTCCTTGATATTCTGCTTCATCTCTTCTAGAGCTTTTCTGTTCTAGAATTCCGGGGAAACCGGGAATTAGAAATTACCGTTAATATTTATTTACAAACCATTTAAATTTAATTTTAGGAGGAATGATCAACGTCTCATCTGCTGATGAAATCGGTGTTCCTGGACCATCCACTGTTCACACGGGTATCCCTAGCCCAAGACTCCACGAAACGCCTGGCAGTGGCACTTTCGATAACTGTGAAAACTGACCGACAGTGAGTATCGATGAGTTCATTGTCCCGGACTCGAACAGGTGGAATGTACAGAGTGCATATAAATAGTGTGCGATCACCCAGATTGATGGCTGTCTAAACCTGCTCCACATAGTTCCATGAGTCGTTCTCGATGGCCTTAGTAATGACGATGATAGTGGTCTACCACACATTGTAGGGGGCAGGGGCACTCCTCACTGTTGAACTTGATCAAGCTTTTAATAACCTCTGATTGTCATCAGCAATCAAAAGCTCTCAATTAATAACTGTGGAAGTGCATCTAGAACAGTAAGTTGAGAGCACGCAATAAGCTAATATGCGATAAGCAATAAGCTTGTGCAATAAGCGAAAAAGAAGAAGAAATCATCAGCAAATCGCCAAAAAGAATGGAGTCAATACCTTGGGACAGTTAAGAATCTCCTTCCAACAACTTGATCAGTCGATTGGTCAGAAAATGAGCCATCCAACAGGAAGTTGCCCCAATGAATGGGGAGAAGAGCCTGCCCTTTATCCAAGAAATGTTAGCAACAGCGAGTTGACATCTTCACTCTCCCCATCCAAATCGCTTCAATTGGGGATGGTCTCTCCACATCCCGAATTTTTGATTTATAGTAATATGTAATGTAATAATCAGATATGCATAATAAGCATAACGTCTACAAAAATATGCGAGTCGATTGAAATCTGCCGAAAATAAATGAGGACTAATTTGATTTTTACCATAGAAGCGTAGATGCATAGGTGAATGATAAGAGAAAGGAGAGTCAAAGGTGTTGACATGCAGAATTGGAAGTGGTCGAGATTGAATGCGCATGTTTAAATATCGTTGATCCTGTTACTTATCATATAAATTTGCATTTCATCTTGTTATGATTATTGTCAATTACCTTTTATGTGGTACCAATCATCATAGAAGCCAACCTTGTATCGTAGACCAGGTCCATTAACAATACCCTCGTTCCGAGAAGGGGCTCTACACCGAAAAAAGTTTGCATGTAGCTTCCATTGGAAATGCACATGATTTTCATCCATAATCAAAATTAACGGAATTAATATGAATTTCACATAACATTCATGCGATGCCATTAAATTTATGTGATCTTGCAAATGAATTTCATCGGCCTCATAATATTCATATGATTTTGTGGTGGGATTTTGCTATGTGATCACAGGAAAGCTATGTGAGATTCACATGGATTTCATCCATTAGATATGTGATATATTTTTTGAGTGTATGGTACCACGCATACTGTATAATCTTCTTCTTCTTCAGGCTCGCTCACCACCCGGAAAGAACGCTAATTCTGTGTTCATAATTCT